ACAGTATCTATAGGTGAATCTAAAACTACATAGATAAAGAATTTTTTACACCTTCCATATGAAGAGACCCTTTTCCTTAGAGACAAAGAGTTTCTCCATGAAGTTTAGATGAAAAAAACATGCTTTTTGTGAAAGAAAAACTGGGGAATAGAAAATATTTCTAAAGATTCTTCCATTTCTCTCTGTGATCATGTACTCTAAACCCAGGAATTTCTTAATCTAGAATCTCTTGTTGCCTAGAAGATCTATGAAAAGAAGAGAGAAAGCAGACCTCCGTGATTGCCCAGAAATTCGATTGAAATTTTTGTGTATGTGGATATGTGTATTTTTCTGGGAAAAGGATCCCTAGCATTAATCAGAAAAACTTAAGGACAATCTTAAACAATTTGCTTTCAAACTGTTATTTTTTAATTCATTTTGAAGACTATCAAGTGCCATTAGGCACTGTGCTTGGCTACTGAGGAACCAAAAAAAAAATGACAAAAAATCCTGAGCTCAAGTTGCTTAAATGTAGGGGGGAAGACAAATACATTTATTTAATTTTTTTAAGATTTTATTTATTTATTTGACAGAGACAGACACAGCAAGAGAGGGAACACAAGCAGGGGGAGTGGGAGAGGGAGAAGCAGGCTCCCAGCTGAGCAGGGAGCCCCATGTGGGGCTCAATCCCAGGACCCTGGGATCACGACCTGAGCCAAAGGCAGATGCTTAACCGACTGAGCCACCCAGGCACCCAAGACAAGTAAGTTTAAAATACATTGAGAAAAATTTTAGAAGAATATGTATAAAAAGACTTTCTATTGTTTTTCTCAACACTGGTTGACTCCATTGTATAGTTTGACTTTTGTGTCACCAAATTTTATGATTTTCATGCCACCTGCCACCACAGACTTATTTCTAACAAAATGGTTGATTTTCTCTTTTCAGCCTGTCAGCAATGGAACTAAATGGTGCTCTTCCGTCTCTGTTACATCCAGGAGTTTCTTAGGCCCTGTGATTACGGGATTTACAAGTAAGAGAGGAAAATACTCACTTTAACCCTATCTATGTGCTGTGATCAAATGGTTCTAAACCAGGGCGTCTGGGTGGCCCAGTCGGTTAAGCATCTGACTCTTGATCTCAACTCAAGTCTTGATCTCAGGGTTGTTGAGTCCAAGCCCCATGTCAGGCTCCATGTTGGGCATGGAGCCTACTTAAAAATTTTTAAAAAAGTTGTAAACCTCTAGCCCTTTGAGGACTGACATGGGACTCCTCTTGACCTGGTAAGTATAATATACTTATACTTGGTATAATATAATATACCAAGAAGCACTGGTACATCCTATAAATCCATAAAACACACTGTTAATTAAGGTGAGCATTGAGCTGTTTAGATATGGTCCAGAATGAGTCAAGATTCCTTACTTCCTTCTCCCATCACTGTTAATTTTTCATTACTACTAATAAGAGCTGAAGGAAAAGCCCCCAACTCTTCGATCCCTTTACTGCCCATTGTAACTTCTCTAACTAGGGATAGCAATTAATTAAGCAGATCAGTGCAAGACAAAAAACTTTAGAGTTCCAAGTTTCATGAAACTTTTATACCCCATTTCCTTGTGTAAATGTACTGTAATTTATTTAATCAGTTTCCTGTTGGTGAGCTTTTAGGACATTTTCACTCTTCAGACATTACAAACAATGCTGCCAAGACTATCTTTTCAAATATATCGTTTTCTACAGCTATCAGTTTATCTGTTAAATAAATTCTTGGAAGTGTAGTTCCTGGTTCAAAGGGTAGAAACGTTTTAAGTATTGACAAATATTATCAAATTAGAGCCATGTCTCTTAATACTGTTTACTACAATTGTTTAACATTGAGGCAGTCACTAAAGATAAATGAGGAAAAGTGATGATTAGCAAACAAAGCAAAAAAAAAAAAAATCTGGTGTGATATCTTTTATATTGCTTTCTTTCCCCCATTGGGTGATGAGAACTAAAGTATACTTCTTTGGGAAAGTGGTAGGAGTGATTCCAGACAGGAATTTTCTTTCAGTTAGTGATTGGATAAGTCCTACAAGGAATGTAAGACTTTATCCCAGAACAAAGCAGTCATCAGTCCTTTGTATTCAGGGATAAGTGGGGAAAACCAAAAGATCCATTTTGTCATCCCTGTCCCAAATCAGATGCCTTTCTATGGTCTTAAACATTTGTGTGACTGACAAGTGGGACTTGTGTTGTAATTCACAATGCAATCACTGTTCTAAACACGCACATGGCCCACTCTGCCTCAGCTTCAATTATAAAATCTTCAGCCAGAGGCTATTATCCTCTGTTTTGTTCAGTCAGCAGCAGAGTTAGCCAGTGAATTTCCAACTGGGATCAGGTGGCAAGAGAGAAATTTCTCACACTTCATCTATCAATCCCTTATATACCCCAGCATATTTCTTCCTTTGGGGGGCCCATGTTGAGGGCAATTTTTCTGAAGCCATTCGGGAAAGTGATCCAACTTTACATTTCCTTTTTTTAATTCCGCCTTAATTAAGGAGGGAAAGAGGACTAGTTGAATGTGACTTATCTAAATGAAGACAACCTCCAAATTCACAGAGCTCAGTCCTTCTGTGTAATGATTTACCTGTCACTAATTCTTCAGTAGATAAGCTACACCCTGTGGTCTAACCAGCCCTATGAAGCCTCACTTTCTCTCCTGCCTTCCCTTTATTTCATCTGTCTTTCTCCCAAAAGACTAATTAGATAAATGGAAGATCTACACAAATGTCTCCAAATCCCAGGAGGAGCATGACAGAGGTCTGAGGCAGAATGCGTAGCTAGTGAGGCCATGGACAAAGATCGGGGTGCTTTTTAGTTTGAGGGCAGGAGCTTGGAGGGCTTTTCTCACAACATCCCATTTTAATTACAGTCAATATTCTAATGCCTGCATGCTAAATAAGACGTTTGGAAGGACTAGAATAGGGTAAATTATATACAACCACGCCTATAAGTAAATGCCATTTTAAAATGTTTGCAGAATTCCTAAGAGCTCTCAAAGATTTGGCTTCTTTCATAGCTCATCAACCCAATTTTAAGCAAGGTTATAGACTTGTTCTAGAAAGCCAGACTGCTGCTACCTGGTTGACCTTTTATCTACTGAAGATCAGGTTAAGGTGGAAAAAACATTCATTAAGCCCTAGTTAAATGTTTGGAATCCTAATTTAACTTTCCCCTAGTTAAAGCCACCTGCTTTTATAAGGGCGGTGTGTCTGTGTGTTACCTTCTGCAGAGACCCGAGTAGTTCCTCTGTCTACCTAATAAGATTCTCAGGACCGTATCCAGATTTAGCCGGGCATGTCAGTACAGCAACCCACTGTCGTCTGGGGTACCAGTAGACAAAATGTCAGGACGCCTGCTGCATTCCTCTGGGATAATAGACATGAAGTCATTACATCAGAAAGTGGATCATGTGCTGAGGATACACTTCTCTCCCCCTGAACACACCGGCTCTCCCAGCTTAAGGTCACTGAACCGACAGCTGGAAGGGTGCTCGTAGCCGGGAAAGGGTGAGGCAGACGTGCCACTTAGCGACACAGAGGTTTCTGATATTGGAGACGGGAATGACAGATTGGTATGGAGGCTGCGGTTTGAAGGTAACTGCCGGGAGGTCAGTGTTAGACTGCAGGGGCAAGAACCTGACAGCAGGAAGTGGGGGCTGCTAACCATTGCAGGACTCAAAGGGGAGGGGGGCCGTGATATTTAAGAAAAGAGTGTTTGGCTTCAAGATATACCTGTTTTTTTTTTTTTTAAGATTATTTATTTATTTATTTATTTGACAGAGAGAGAGAGAGAGAGAGACAACGAGAGAGGGAACACAAGCAGGGGGAGTGGGAGAGGGAGAAGCAGGCTTCCCGCCGAGCAGGGAGCCCAATGTGGGGCTCGATCCCAGGACCTGGAATCATGACCTGAGCCGAAGGCAGACGCATAACAACTGAGCCACCCAAGCTCCCCAAGATATACCTTGTATATAATAATATACAAATTATTATTCTAATTCAAGATAAGTAGGGAAGTTCTCTTTTCAAAAATAATATAAGAGAATATCTCATTACTTTCCAACAAATGTTCAGATCTTACCTTTAATAATAAAAAGGTATGAAGTTAGAAGAAAACTCCCAGAGGCACCTGGCTGGCTCAGTTGGTGGAACGTGCGACTCTTGATCTCGGGATTGTGAGTTCAAGCCCCATGTTTGGTGTAGAAATTACCTAAAAATAGAATCTGAAAAAGAAGAAAAAGAAAACTCCTAAAAACTTCCTTATTACCTCTTATGTGTAGAAACTTTTGTAGTCTTGTTTTAATGGAACATTACCGAAGTTGACCTTTACTGTGCATGCCAGAAGAATCTAGCTGTCATCTTGAGACTCTAGGGGAAGCAATAAAAGGAGCTGTTTGACAAACTTGACAACCGTTTCTAAGATTTCTAAACAGCCTAATCAATAAACAAAAGGATAAATGGTGTGGGTCAACTCTCTAGGAACCTATAACCAACATAAATAACTCTCCCCAATCAAACTTGTGTCTCAAGTCTTAGTAATTATCCTTTTTATCATGATTTTTATCTTGAATACTTCTTTGTGCCCACAAAGCTCAGCCTGCACCTCCACCCTCTCATACAACATTCTCACACCACATTCTTTGGGTAAAGAAAATACAGTTTAAGGGTGGGTGCTTCTTCTGATGCTAAGACACTTAAAAGGTAAGTGTGGAAAGCGAGAGAAGTAAATGCTTATTCCTTTCCCATCTGGATTTTGCAAAGCAAACTGCAAGAGAAAACAGCACGGTCTCAATCAGCGTGTGTTTAATTTCCTCTTGTCTCTCTCTCACTGTCCTCAGGATTAAATGTTCCCCTTGTCCTCAACCAAAATGGAAATATGATCTCATGTTTGTTTATTGGGTTGCCTTTGCATTTCCTAGGACAATAGGGTGTATATTTTTATTTACTGACCTTACTTCTTCCCCCAAACAGGGAAAGTCCCCAGGGAGCTTGCTGTAAGCATATCCAAGTGCAGCTGAATCTCTTAGGTGTAGACACTGTAAAAATAGAGTGGTGCTTTAGGATGCTAAAGTGGCATCATTCAGTAGTGTCATCTCTATACTCCAGGTGCAAGTCCAAGGATTCTGCTAAACAGAGTTGCCAAATACTAATTAAACTAATTGGTTATCAGTGCTATTCTTAAGCCTTCTGACCTTGGGATTTCTCCCGTGAGAAGAAAGAGGGATATATTTATTCCATTCTCCGTACAAGATACACAAATTCTGATCACATTGTATATTTAGTTAAGTGAGTAAAAAATTATCAAGAAAAATTACTTTATCTCAACAGTTTGGAGAGAAAGTGATGAGTGTGTTTATTTCTTTTCTCTCATTGTCATTTCACTGTGTCTAATAAATAATAAAATATATTTCAAAGGAAAAAGCAGCCTAACCTAAAAAAGACATATCAAGATGAAGAGACTCATAATAAGCACTACAGTTTTCCATGATGAGGGAAAGAAAACAAATTTCCAATCTAGAAAATGGGATAAATTCAAGAAACTGTAGAGTTTCAAATGCATAGGAAACAGAAGGGAAGAAAGAAATTACTTCTGAAACCAACAATGCTATTCCACATCACAGGTGGCAATACGAGACCTATTAAGGTTGAAGACGAACATGTCCAATAATTCCACTCCAAGATAGGTACCAGACAAACTCTTCTAAATGTGTATCATGAAATATCTACTAGAATGCTCAAATAGCTTTGTTTGGAATTGCAAAATAGTGAAAACCAAGAAAATATCCATCAACAGAAGAGTGGATAATACCCTGGGGTATATTTGAATAATAGGCTCTGTTGCAATCAGGATGAGTGAACTAAAGGTACGTACATCAATATAGGTATTACTTAAAAGAATATTGAATGAAAAGTCCCATTGCAGAAGGATATGTTCAGGTTTGTATTTATATAAAGTAGTGTATGTGTGTGTGCATGCATGTGTGTGTGTGTGTGTATATATTTAAAATAATACTATGTATCTTAGATCTATAGGTAGTATTAAAAGTATAAAAACATCCACATGAAAATGGACACCAAATTCAGAATATGATTTCCTCTGGTGAGGGAAAAAGAATGGATCTGGGAGAGATGCTCAGAGTGCTCCAACTATAACTGCAGCAATTTTTTCTTTAAAAATCCAATGCAGGGTGCCTGGGTGGCTCAGTTGGTTTAGCGTCCAACTCTTGGTTTCAGCTCAGCACAGAATCTGCTTGAGATTCTCTCTCTCCCTCTGCCCCTTCTCCACTCACATTTTCTCTCTCTCAAATAAATCTTCTTGAAAAATCCAGTGCAAATATCGCATAACATAAAGGTTTTCTAAAACTTCGTTTTTTTATTCCTTGAAATATTTTTTAACTTAAAAAAACATAACACTTTTGAGAGATTTGTCAAAGCAAATTTTTACCAGTCCATCCAACCTCAGTCTTGCAAGATGCAGGCATAGATAATTCCCACATTCAAGCATTTTAAGGATGCTCCGTGGGTGTCCCCACAGAAGTCAAGAATGAGCTTTTTTTTTTTTAATTTTATTATGTTATGTTGTTAGTCACCAAAAAATGAGCATTCTAATCCAATGAAAATCAAGTTGAGATTGTTATAGGAAAAACATGAGAGTGAGAGGACCCAAGTCCTGCTCTCATGGCCTCCATGGTACTCTTAGCCACAGGACTTAACCTAAGAGAGTTGGATTTGACTCCTGACTGCTCTTTCCCAGGTGGTGGTACTCAACCAGTGCTCATTACCCTTCCGCTTTCTCCTCTTTCCTAACAGAGCCCAGATTCTCAAGTATCTTGATTCATCTAAGGGTAATCCCATGGCCCTTGCCAATAATTGACTCAGGAATGGGGATATGAATTTCTCCAGGCCAATGATAAGTGAGGGAAATTTGCTAAGGACTTCTGAGGATGGCTTCCTCGTTTTCAAGACAAAGGGACAGAAAGAAATGGTCTTCTCCTCTGGCATTGTCATGTAGAGTGTTGAGGCCGAGAACTGTATGAGGCTCAAGATGAAGCCAGTACTTCATGAAGGGCAGACACAAGAGAATTGCAAAGAAATACAGTCAAGTGCAGCTAGATTGTGTCAAGTCTGAAGACCACCTCACCTCTGGGCATCCAAGTAAGTGAGCCAGCATATCTCTGTGTTATTTAAACCAGTTAGAATTGGGTTTTATTACTTGTGACCAAAGACGTTCTAGCTGAAGCATACACCCAGGATTCAGCTTCCTCAGCCGTCTGCGATGATATTAATGTCTGGCCTGCCCTACCACCTCACTGAGTGGTTTTGAAGCTCAAGATGAGCCAACCTGTGTGAATGTGCTTTGTAAACCGTAAGTTACTATTCAAGGGCAAACTGGTGCTATTATTAATAATTTTGCTATAAAGTTGGGATAAAAATTTTAGTTCTCTATGTGAATTATGTATGTCTTAGAATGGAGTTATTTGATTCATTTATTTTAAATGATACTTCAGAAACCTTATGAGAATGTGTACGTCATTCTTTCGAATCACATAGAACAGTTATATATTTATAGTATCAGTTGAGAATATCCTCAGTAAAGAGTTTTTACACGAGTACAGGACCAAGGCATTTTAAATAGCCATTTATGTTAAAGGAGTTTTAAAAAAATTTTTTTTAAATTTGTCCATAAAATATGGTCTCCTTACTTAAAAATTGTGGGATCTTTGGTATAACGTGTCTGTATCTGCTGTATCTGTCAGGGTTAAGGGAGAAAATTTGTGGGCGCCTGGGTGGTTCAGTCTGCTGAGCGTCTGCCTTCAGCTGAGGTCATGATCCCAGGGTCCTAGAATCAAGTCCGGCATAGGGCTCCCTTCTCTGCAGGGAGCCTGCTTCTCCCTCTGCCTGCCACTCCCCCTGCTTTCTCTCTCTCTCTGTCAAATAAATAAATCTTAAAAAAAAAAAATGGGAGAAAATTGGTGTAGAGTACTTAGAGCTTTATTAACACTAACTACATTCTAGACATGCTCTATGCACCTCACATTTATCAACTCATATACCAGAACTGGATTGTAGAGTTGTAGTTTTAATTTTTAAAATAGCTTTATTCTTTTGGGGAAAATGTTATGTGCTTGTTACTTTAAAAATTAAAACAATATAGAAAAGTATACAAATTACATAGTCGTCTTACTCCGTGGGTGCTGAATAAGCTGGGTAAGCAACCAGACACATCTCTGTTTAATGTGGCATGTACACCTGCGTGCACATGCATATATACACACAAGTATATGTATGTATGAGCAAATGTGTGTGTGTGTGTGTGTACACACATACATACCTATACATAAGTTATACACACATGTACACATCTCTTTTTAGTAGGAAAAACAAGTAGCATTTTAAGTACATATCTGATTACACCTCCTAGGAGATAAAGAAGTAAGATTTTTTTTTTTAAGATTATTTATTTTAGAGAAAGCATACATGCGTGAGTGGGGGGAGGGGCAGAGGGAGAAAATCCCAAGCAAAGCCTGATATGGAGCTGGACGTGGGGCTCCATCTCATAACCCTGAGGTCATGACCTGAGCCGAAATCAAGATATCAAGATTCGGGGCTCGGGGCGCCTGGGTGGCTCAGTCGTTAAGCGTCTGCCTTCGGCTCGGGTCATGGTCCCAGGGTCCTGGGATCGAGCCCCACATCGGGCTCCCTGCTCAGCGGGAGTCTGCTTCTCCCTCTCCCACTCCCCCTGCTTGTGTTCCTTCTCTGGCTGTGTCTCCCTCTGTCAAATAAATAAATAAAATCTTAAAAAAAAAAGATTCGGGGCTCAACCGACTGAACCACCCAGGTGCCCCAAGAAGTAAGACTTTTTCGTATTGTTTGGGATATTGCTTGTAAGTGATTAATGTCTAGTTAGGCAGCAGACACCTAAATACACCTTTACATAAATAAGGTCATGCTTTCCTTTTTTACTGGTTTTAATTTGTTTTTAAAGGAGCCCTCCAGTCACAGTACATCACCACTATTTTTTTCATCATAACTACTTATTCCTACCTAACACTTCTCTTGTTAATTTGTTGGATAACTCCCCTAATAGTCTTTTCTCTTTTTTTCACTTTTTAAAAAACTTTAAATCGTATTTTTTCATCAAAAAATTTAATTGTGGTTAAATAAAAAAACAGAACATAAAATTTACCATTCACCGTGTTCAAGTATATGGTTCAGTAAAGTATATTCACATTGTTGTGCAGTAGATTTCCATACACTTTCATCTTGCAAAACTGAAACTGTACACTACTCCATTTCCTCCTCCCCCATCCTGGTACAATTCTACTTTCTGTTTCTATGAATTTGCAGCAATCGTATCTTCCTTTAACTCAACATTTATTCTCCAGCACCCAGTATGGACATGTTCCACAAATATGTGTTGGGTAAATGAATGGATTTGTATTTGCACTATACAGAAACAAGTAAAGAAACAAAAAGAGAGGGGCGCCTGGGTGGCTCAGTCGTTAAGCGTCTGCCTTCGGCTCAGGTCATGGTCCCAGGGTCCTGGGATCGAGCCCCGCGTCGGGCTCCCTGCTCCACGGGAAGCCTGCTTCTCCCTCTCCCACTCCCCCTGCTTGTGTTCCTGCTCTCGCTATCTCTCTCTCTCTCTGTCAAATAAATAAATAAAATCTTTAAAAAAAAAAAAAAAAGAAAAGAAACAAAAAGAGATCACAGCCTCATTTGTGCTAAGAAATCAGTAACCCCCAAATAGCTAAAATGTATCAAACATCTGTGTATCAGGCACATTACTCTAATTCTGCACTTGGTCTCTGGGGTCAATTCCCAACATAGCCAGAGTGATTCTTTTGAATAAGTTAATCCTCTACTCAAAACCCTGCAGTGGCTTCTAATGACACTAAGATAAAAAGTCAAAGTGGACTATGGGCCTTATCCTAGCTGGACCTCTTTACTTCTCCTACCTTTTTCTGCTTTCCTTCTCTGTCCCTTCCACTCCGAACACACTGGATTCTTTGCAGTTTCTCAAACATTCCAGCAACACTCCCCAGTGGGCTGTTGTGCATGCTGCTCTTTCTCCCTAGACCATTCTTGTCCTCATATCCGCATTTTTCATGCCCTCACTTCCATCTGCAGCTTGTTCAAACATCACCTTCTGGTGATCTGGTCCCCGACTACCCCAGTGAAAAGAGCAACATGTGCCCCACCCCCACTCCCACCCTGGTTCTCCCCAATTACTTTCTCTATTTTCATCTGTGGAAGTTACCACCATATGACCTACCTATATTTTCCTTATAGATTTTTGTTTGCCTTCGGTTTCCCTCTCCATAATGGCAGCTATTTTCATCTGTTTTATTCACTACTATGTCCCAGTGCCCAGAACTATGCCTGACACATAGTAAGTGCTCAATAATATTAGTTTAAAATGAATGAATTGATAAATGTGACAGAACGCACGTCAGTGGTGGCCTTGGGCTGGTGAGTAGGGGCAGTTGACTGCGCAGGAGTACAGGGAACTTCTTCTACATCTTGATCATGTGTATGATTACACACGTGTAAATTTGTTACAACTCATTGACATATACACTTAAATTATATCGTATGTAAATTATACCTCAAGAGATGGATTTTTTTTTTCACATAGCAATTTGTTTAAAAGTCAACATTTGCAGAGTAGTAAAGCTGTAATTCAATCCCAGGTGTGTCTGATTCCAAAGTCCATCCTCTTTTTATGAGGCTGTACCACCTCCCCTAACCTCTGCCCTACCTAGTTTCCATGACTGGCGCCACTGAGGTCTTCACCAGAAGGCTCAGTCTCAGTCGATTTCAGGTTTATAAATCTCCGAGACAGGCAATACATTTTTGGGTTTTATCTCTCCCACATTTTTAGATCTTAGGAATGATAATCATAACAGATAGGTGGAATGCATTTGTCTCTCCCAGGGAAGCATGGTGTAATGCAAATTCAATGATACCGAACTGGTGTAATGGTCAGTTTAATTTGTCAACTTGACTAGGCTATAAAGTACCTGGTTATTCAATCAAACACTAATCTGGGTGTTTCTGTAAAGGTATTTTGTAGATGTGATAAACATCTACTGTTGTTTGACTTTAAGGAAAGGAGATTATCTTCCATAATCTGGGTGAGCCAGAACCAGTCAGTGGGAAGGTCTAAGAACAGAATTGAGGTTTTTCCAAAGGAAGAAGAAATGCTGCCCGTTGACTTAAGGGTCGACTCCTTCCTGAGAGTTTCCAGCTGTCCTTCCTCATGGCTTGCCCTGCAGATTCTGGACTTGCCCAGTTAGCCCTCACAATCACATAAGCCAGTTCCTTGTAATAAATCTCTGTCTCTGTCTCTGTCTCTCTTTCTGTCTGTCTGTCTCTCTCTCTCTGTGTGTGATATAAATGAAAAGCATGCAGGAGTGCTGAAAATGTGACTTCTTCCAACTATCAATGTCATAATGATAATGTCTGGGGCTAATTAGTCCCCAAGTATTCATGTTCTTAACTGGACTTAGGGTGTCTGCAGGGATGAGCCCTGAACGATTATGGTAATGTTACCATCTCCTCCCTCCCCCTGTCTACGGTAAGGTCAGCTCTGTATTGATCTTTGTACTTAAATTATCCCCCTATCCTTCCCTGTCCTTCTAACCCTTGCCCCTACATCACCCTTTAGACTGAGTCCTGAGTGGTGAGTACCTCCTGAGTTTCCGACAGCTGTGTCCAGCCTGCTTTATTGGAAGCCCAGTGGTTATCACTTCTGGAATTGAAATGATTGTGTCCTTTGGACACTGCATCAGTGGCTCTGCCTGTCCCAACTGGCTAGGCTTCTGGAGTCCACCTTGGCAGCCAGGTCTGTCTGCTGTCCAAACATGGTGGGCAGATCTTAAACCTTCCCCATCTCTCCAACTTCATTCTGCAGCCACCAGCAAAACATCAGGCATGCTAGTCTTGGTATAAACTGTGAAAGATGATTAGAAAGACAATTCCAAGTAATTATAAGTGGTTCAGTCACAAAGAATAGGGTCTTTTCTAAAAGCAAATCAAACCCAATCTTCCAAAGCTGAGATTGAAAACATGCTCTGTGTGTGTGTGTGTGTGTGTGTGTGTACATGCCTAACTTTGTGACTTTGATTATTTTCAGAAACTTATTTTTCAACTAGCTGTTTTGTTGTATTATCCATAGTTCTTAACCATTCTATCTATGCAGCTAATAGCCCTGTATGCTGAATTCTGTTAACTTAAATATCACTGAGAATGGGAGAATGTTAAGCAAATATCAACTTCTTAAAAATTATTCATTTTAGTCAAGAATTTCAACTGCCTTCACCACAAAAACCTTGCCTCCAAGTTGTGAACAACTCCCAAGAATAACTATTTGAGATTCTTTTTCTCTTCTCACTTCTCCCTTCATAATACTTAAAGCAGTGATTGAAAACAAACAACAAAAAGTGAGAGATCTTACTTATCTCTAGACTTAATGTTGGAGATTTCTATACCTAATAGCCGTGTTCTTGGCCAGATCACTTAAGGTCCTTGAACTTCATCAGCAGCTAAAGCAACTAGACTGGCTGTTTTTCAAAGTCTCTTTTAGCTCTAAAGTCCTGTGAGGCTATGTGCTCTGGCCTAGAGAATCAAAGCAGTGTTTGAATTTGCCCAAGGAAGGAGGAGGTACAGGGCAGGAAGGCAGAAGTCCTGCTTGCATAGGTTCTCCTGGGCTCCACCCACAGCGAGTTGTAGGTTAAAAATATGGCCAGTGCTCGGTGCCCCACCCCCGCATAAAACAACAGAAGAACACCCTTCTTTTCTCTTTCTAGATGAAAAGGTGATTTTAACTAAGAATGGGGTTTTAGAGAGTGAAACGGGGGAGGGGACTGGTGTTTGTTTTTGTTTTATTTTTCTCTTGGTGGTTAGAAGGGAAATTGCCACAGAATGGAAGATACTCTAAGGTAGATTTCTTATCTGGATCCTGTCACAGGGGCTCATCAGGGGAGCTGGGGTGCTGCCGACCTGCCTAGGTGTGACCGAGCAGAGGCCAGGTCAGGTCAGTTGTGACCCAGCCCTCCTTCATGCCCTTACCACTCCACCGTCACCCAGTCCTAAGCCAAGCACTGTCTGCCCACCTTCGTGCCACCATGGCCACTGAGAGGAATAGCAGAGGGGACTTGGGAATGGAGAGCCTCCCCACCAGAATAAGGTTCTTCCATCAGCGGAGTTGAAAGCTGCCCCCACCTGTGGAGAGACGGTCCCTGAAAAGGATAGAAACTTACCGTCAGATTGGAGAGAGGAAGGTACATGCTCCTTTTGAGGCCAGGAGCTGAGGTTGTCGAAAATGCCTGAGAGAGTGGCACAGGCTGGGGTCACAGCAGTCGTGGCCATGACTAGCTCGGTCCCTGACAAAGATTAAAAACTGGTAAGAGCCAGACTACTTCTGAGAACCTGGAGAGCTATAATCGCTGACAGGCCAGCCTATTTCAGGTGGGCTGAAAGAGCAGACATGTCTGTTGAAAACATCTGCCTGTTACTACCCACAATCTCCCCATGTCTTTCAGGTATCTGGTAGAAGCTGAAGAAATAAGGGTCACATATAAATAAACCTAATTGGATTGAAGGAAATGAAGAGGATTAACTCAATCCCTATTAATTTGGATTAATGTCACTTATACCTTCCAATGAAGGCCAAGCCTGGTTAAGGGAAATGAATTAAGATGAATAACAGTTTTCTGTTTTCCAAAGTCTACAGGTATTTTTCTGACAAGTTAGATCTTTGTTAGTCATGACAGAAATAGTGCTAGGTAGGAAAAGAAAATGTTTTTATTGTGGTAAAATAATCTATAACATAAACTTTACCATTTTCACCATTTTTAAGTGCACAGTTCAGTGGCATTAAGTACATTCACATTGTTGTAGAACCATCACCATTGTACCCATTAAATACCAACTCCTTATTCCACCCTCCCCATCCCCTAGCAGCCAGCATTTTACTTTCTATGAATTTAACCACTCTATAGAGCTCACAGAAGTGGAAAGATATAGTATTTGCCCTTTTGTGTTTGGCTTGTATTATTTAGCATAATGTCCTCAAGGTTCATCCACATTGTAGCATATATTAGAATTTCTTTCCTTTTTAAGGCTGAATTAACATCCCAGTGTGTGTGTGTGGGTGTGTGTGTGGGTGTGGGTGTATCACATTTTTATTATCCCATCATTTTTTCTCAAACATTTGGGTTGTTTCCACTGTTTGGCTATTGTGACTAATACTACTATGAACTTTAGTGTGCAAGTATCTGTTCAAGTCCCGGCTTTCGGTTCTTTTGCATATATATATGGAAGTAGAATTGGTAAATTATATAGCAATCTACGTTTAATGGTTTGAGAAACAACTGTATTGTTTTCCACAGCAACATTCCCACCAGCAAAGCAGAAGTGTTCCAATTTTTCCACAAAATTGTTATTGCCACATGTTATTTTCTTTTTTTTTATAATAGTCATTCTAATTGGTGTGAATTGGTATCTCATTGTGGGTATGAATTGCATATCCCCTAATGATTAGTGATTTTGAATATTTTTTATGTGCTTGTTCATTTACATATCATACTTGGAGAAAGGTCTGCTCAAGTCCTTTGCCCGTTTTTTAGTTGGGTTGTTTATGTTTTTGTTGTTGAATTGTAGGAGTTCTCTATATATTCCGGATATTAATCCCTTAGCAGATATATGATTTTAAGTACTTTCTCCTAAAACAATTGTTTAAGTTGGCATGTTTTAACTTTTTTCAAGCCAGAACACATGTATTGTAGGACTAAAGAAATGAACAGGCTCATGATATGGTTTAAAAAAAAAAATAAAAGGAATAAAAAAGTAAAAACCACTTGAAACTGCACAACCCAGAGATAACATTATTTTGCTGTATATTCTTCCAGGCATTTTCCTATGCATGTAGAAAAATTTTCACAGCCCAGACTATACATGCTATTCTATAACCTTTCCTTAGCATTAAACGCAAGTATATATGATTGGTCTAAAGTACCACAAAGTACTCCACTGAATAGATATATCATAATGTATTTAATCACTCTACCAGTGATAAAAGATTGAGGTGGTTTCTAACTTATCCTTATTGTAAACAATGCTTCATGAAGACCCTTTATGTATCTCTTTACATACTTGTTCAATTTGTTCACTGGGATAAATTCCCAGAAGTTGAATTTTGGGGCCAAAATATATGCATATTTAAATTTTTGATATCCTTTATATTGCCAAATTACCTTCCAGAAAGGCAGAACCAATTTATACTCTTACTGTGTATGAGAGTACCCATTGTCCCACACCCTTGCCAAATTGGCATGCTTTCAACAATGGTAAAAATAGGTTCTTGTCTGCTTTCCTCCCATGAATCCTGCCAAAGTGCATGACGTGAAACTAAATGAGAGGAATATAAAGTTGACAGATGGGAGGTATTTTGGTCACTGTAATGTTTTATCTAAAGCACACCATTTTCCCCTCAAAGCAAATGTGATAGATAAGTCCTCTTCATTTTTTAGTACAAGTTCTAGGAAGCAATTTCCTAAATGGATTGATTCCTTAGAGAGAGAATGTCTCTGAGGATGTAGAAATTATTCAAACCAAATGTGCTTTCGGTTGATAGAGGATATACATTTTTTTGACATAACAGTATCTATCTTTTTTAAAAAGATGCAACGTGTTTCACTCTGTACTATTTATTCAAAGTGTCATATCACAGCTGATTCTCAATGTACTCATTCATTTGTCTAAAGTTCCTGCAGAGAAATTTTTTTCACCGACCTTGTTTTCTGTTTTGTAAGTTTTTTAATTGAGGTATAATTTGCATTTAGTGTAAGTTTTTTCTCTTTAAAATCTGATTGCACATAACTTTTTTTTATAATTTTATTTTATTATGTTAATCACCATACATTACATCATTAGTTTTTGATGTAGTGTTCCATGATTCATTGTTTGCATATAACACCCAGTGCTCCATGCAGTACGTGCCCTCCTTAATACCCATCACAGGCTAACCCATCCCCCACCGCCCTCCCCTCTAGAACCCTCAGTTTGTGTCTCGGAGTCCAACGTCTCTCATGGCTCGTCCTCCCCTCTGATTCCCCCCCCTTCATTTTTCACATAACTTTTAAAGATAATCCTTTTACCTCAAATTAATGAGTAATGAGAGAGAAGTATATATTTAAATATACCCTCTTTGTAAAGCACAGAAAGAAGAAAAGGGAGGGTTTTTTTTTTCTTAAGATCTCACTTATTTATTTGTCAGAGAGAAAGAGAGTACAAGCTTGGGGAATGGCAGGCAGAGGGAGAAGTGGGCTCCCTGCTGAGCAAGGAGCCTGATGGGGGACTCAATCCCAGGACCCTGGGATCATGCCCTGAGCCCAAGGCAGATGCTTAACTGACTGAGCCACCCAGGTGTCCAAGAGAGTTTTAAATCAGCTATTTCACTCTGTGGATATATAATCCAAGGCATTGAATTTAACATAATAGGCTTGTTTTCTCATCTGATAACCTAGAAAAATGAAATCTGCTGTACCTTCTCCATAGAGATGTTGGAAAGACAGAGATGTCCCAATCCTATAGGGAACTGAATTGTACGTTAAAAAAAAAAAAAAAATGTGTAGCCAGTGAAGTATATCTAATTGACTTATATCTGACCTTGAAGTTTTTGTGCCCAAAGGGATGTCTTTCTTTTTCAAATGAAAACATGTAAGTCAGATGTATGCTTTACAATACAAAATTATTCTCTTGTTTTGGCATTCATATCAATTAAAAGCATTTTGAAACTGTTTAGCTTCACTGATAGAATTAATGAAACTTACATAACAAAAAGCCAGAAAATAGTTAATTATAAAATGAGAACTGTATATTAATAATCCTTTTTATTTTTCCCCCTTTTGGCCACTTAATAAATTAAGTTTATCAAATTATTATTAATGTAGCACTTCCAATGTTAGCAAAATTATATTTTTAAAAAGGCACACCAATAAAATTATTTTGAGAAAAGAGAAAGACCCCTCCAAATCCTGTTATCCTAGTAACAAAACTATGAAAAACTTTGCCATTTTTCATATTCCTTCCCAGGCTATATTCTAATGTGTTTTTCTTTTAACAGACTGGTTAGGAATAAATGATTATCCCCTGAAATCTGTCTGCTTCCCAGTGAGGACAACTTGGGGGAACTCAGGCCTCTCCTTGCTCACTCTTGCCTTGGGAAAAAAGCACCTTCTTTGGAGAGACTGAGTGAGGGGAAGTGTTAATGTGTCACTGGGCCCTTCTTTTCTTTCAGAGGGGCCTGTCCTTAAAGACTGACCTTGTGATAACCTTACTACAGTAGGTCCTGTCCTGCAAGAAGGTCTGAAGTTGGAAGTTTATTTTAAACCTGCAAAGTATTAGTAAGCTCATTTGACCACAGATCTACATCACAGCCTCCTATCAGCTTTATTAGTTAAGAAACTGACTTCTATAAAAATTATTTTTGATTATGGTGAAAAGCACAGAACATAAAATTTACCATCTAAACCATGTCTGAGTATACAATTCAGCATTGTTAATGATATTCCCATTGTTATGCAAAGAATCTCTACAACCTTTTTTTGTCTTTCAAACTGACACTATCTGTTAATCAACAACTCCATTTCCCCTTTCTCCCAGCTCTTGGCAGCCACTGTTCTACTTTCTGATTCTCTGAATGTGATTATTCCAGGTAGCTCAGATAAGTAGAATCCAACAGTATTTATCTTTGTTGTGATTGCCTCATTTCACTTAGCATATCTTCAAGGTTCATTCATGTGGTAGCATGTTTCAGAGTTTCCTTCCTTTTTCAGGCCAAATAATATTCCATTGTATGTGTTTACCACATTTTCTTTCTCTATTTATTCCTTGATGAAGCTGACATTTTGAACTCTTACCTGACTGATTCTGGCTTCTCTTTCTACTTCTCTGTTGGTTCAAAACAGAGGATGGGAAGGGTTGGTGTAATTAATTTTCATCCCCTAAGACGCAGCAGACTGGACAATAGAGTGTTTGCAGTAAACATCTATTGTTTTGTGTGGCCAGTGTCAAGTAAAATACAAATCTGGAGTGAGGTAAGGAGAGACTTTATTCCGAAGGATTACTGCAGTGAAGGGAGGGGGACTGTTGCAATAGGGAGTGCTCTAATCATAGACCGTAAGATTTGCAAGCTTCTCAGAGGTCAGGCAGGTCAAAGGTAGGCCAAGTTCAGGGACCAAATTTAGGGGGAAGGAGAGAAACCTGATTAAAGTTTACTCAAGTTAAGTTAATGGCCATTTGTCCACCTTGGTCAGTGGGGTAAACAGTTCAGCGAATCATCTATGAGACAAAGAATGGAAATTCATAGAGTCTGTGTCTGGCCTTGTCATAGGTAAACAAGGTGGTCACGAGTCTTCTCTAAATCACATGGGGAAGGGTGGTTCTTTGCAGGAAGCCATTTCTTGGAACACAAAGGATGAGTGGGTGTGTATATGGGGGAGATTGTGTTCCAGGAGCACAGGACTCAGATAAATTTCAACATGGTCACCAATTCCCTTTGCCATTCCATGTGGTAACAGAATGCACCTTGTGGAGAATCCACTTCACTTGGTTTGAGTGAGGTTGACCCCACTTCCCTCTTTATATGGATGAGTATATGTCCAGGCATTGACCTTGTCCTGCCAATTCAAATATCTTCTCCTCTGGTCGCTTATTAATGATCCAGGATAGGGTACATGATCCAAGCAGGACCACCTGGTCCTCTGAGATTTGATCACATGGGTGCTCAGAGAGAGAACCCTGACATTATCTAAGACCCTGGGCTCAGCGTCGCCCATTAGTTCTACCTCTAGACTTCCCAGTTATATGAACCAAAACACCCTTAACTATGTGGTATTTTTCCCCCCCAAAAATAACTGTGTTTGTAGTCCCCAAGGCCGTGGTTGGTTTGGGATGGTTGAAGGGCCCTGGTTATCTCTGATTATGGAAGATTCCAAGGGTCTTGTTTTAATTCCAAGAGTAGGAATATTGACTACAGAATTTTGGGTATATTTCAAGCTTAAGTAATTCCATCTGCCCTCCCTGAAAATTTTTACTGCAAAAATATTCAATATTCTTTACTTCCCTCACTGGACTTCTAAGCATCATAAGATCTCCTGGATCATTTTTCACTAATCAAAGGAAGTCCTGGGGCCGTCTGGGTGGCTCAGTCAGTTAAGCGGCTGCCTTCGGCTCAGGTCATGATCCTGGGGTCCTGGGATTGAGCCCCACGTCCTGCTCCCTGCTCAGCGGAGAGCCTGCTCCTCCCTCTCCCTCTGCCTACTTGTGCTCTCTATCTCTCTGTCAAATAAATAAATAAAGTCTTAAAAAAAAAAAAAACAAAGGCAAGTCCTGAATTTGGGGGAAAATAATTAGTAGCCCAACTTAAATTTTAAAAAGAAATCATGGTTTTTAAGGAGAAATGAGCTGCAATGCCCTAGAGTTAAACTGATTTTCAAGTTCTGTTTTGTAAGTTATGTGAACAAGAGATTAATGTAAGGAATGGAAGGAATTGTTTTTTCAAATATTCAGGAGAATGCACAAGGAGGCATCACAGAAGAAATGCAATGTGGTGTTAATATAAATCATGAAGATTTTGTTTACATTTGACATTTTCCTAATTTCAACAGACATTTTTTATTTAATGACTACATTGTTCTGAAAAATAAGAACAGTTGTGAAATGGCACATGAAAAGGAATTAAAATGTTTTAATTATGAGGAGGAAAAAATAAAAAGTAGCAGCTAATCTTTGTGAGTAAATGTGAAAAAAAATAGCTAATTCAACAAATATTTCTGGAGTGTCTATTATGTGCCAGGCACCAGGATATAGCCGTGAACAACACAAACAAAATCTCCGCCTTCGTGGAAATTCCAGTGGGAAAATGCACCAGTGAAATAAAAATGACAGATCTCCAATAATAAACACCACCTGGGTTCCTAGAGCAGGAGAGCCTCTGACCTGCTCTTGTTGGGCTGTTCTCTACCGGTTAGAAATCGTCCTATACTGAAATGCTACGGTGGTCATCTTGTGAGTGATTTTTGGTTTCTCCTTAAAGTTCTTCTGTATTTCCCAAATTTTCTGCAATGAAACTCTGTTGCTTTTTAATTTAGAAAGAGAGAGAGAGAGAGAGCTTATCAAGAGGAAAAAAAACCTGACAGACAATAAGTTCAAAGTATTAAATCTTGGGAACGTGGAGGGCTTACCTCTTGTTGGCACCTTACTGCCTCTCCGGAACTGGGGGGGGGGGGGGGGGGAGGAGGCGGAGAAAAAAGAGTCTTTAAAAAGCAGCACATATTGCTTTCACTTTGGGTGACTCTTCCTGTCCTCCTCTTGATCTTGAGCTCCTTGGATCTATTTTGAAGTTTCACACACATTTTAAATTCCCTTGTAAACATTCTGGCTGCCAAGAGCCTTGTCTCTTCCTTGCCCCTTTCCACCTGGTTCTCCTGTCCTTTCCCCCACCAAGGTCACCATTGCCCTGCCTCTGTGCGCCAGGTAAACCTTAGTTACTCATTACCGCCCTTGTCGCTTCCATTTCAAGCTGCCGCTTTTCCACAAAGTGAGCTCTGTCTCCAGGTTCCCGCGGTGTCTCCAGATAAAAGGTCAGTCTCAGTTCCCTTTTATTCACCTACGTTTCTAAAAGTTGCCTAATAAATGTGTAAAAGAATTCCTTACCCCTGGTCGGTTGAGGCATTACATTACAGTCTTTTCAGCTTTTGGATTATGATAGAAAATTCTGGTTTTGTTTCTGTTTTGTAATTTTTTACAATCAACAGTTGCTTCAAACATCTCGCTTTCTTTAATTTAAAGAAGTTTTTGGTATTTTCGTTATTGCTGTGTTTTTTCCTTACTGACTTTTAGTATGGAAGTTGCCTTGACTTTTATCGATGTAAAGGGAGAAATCATTTTCCATTTGGGTGAAATTTAAAAAAATTATTTTATCTACTTTTTTTCAAATTGGTAATGTATTTTTATGCTTTTTAAAAACTTTTAAAAATTCCATTAACATATGTACAGTAAAATACACTCATCTTTAATGTAATGGTCAATTATTTTTCCATATGTATATATCTGGTATATAATCATATTTTACATGTGTATATATCATTCTAACCATCACCCACCTCAAGATATAGAACACTGCCAAGAACCCCCAATTTTATTCCTTCCCAGTCAATATCCTCCATGCCCCACCCTCCTCCATACCAGAGGTAATCACTCTTCTGACTTCTGTCACCATTGATTACTTTTGCCTGTATTTGATCTTGAAATAAGTAGAACCTTCCAGTATTTACCCTTCTGTGTTGAATCCTGTGGTTCAACATTCTCTCCCTGATAGAATGCATCATGGTTTATTCTTTTTTATTGCTACATGGTATTCCATTCAATAAATATAATTCAATGTGTATATCCATTTTCCTATTGATGGACAGTTGGAATGTTTTCAGGTTTTGCCTATTATGAGAAAAGCTGCTACAAATATTCTTGTCCGCGTCTTTCGGAGAACATATGCATTCATTTTTCTTGTGTTTATACCAATGAGTGGAACTGCTGGTTCATAAAGCAGATGAATCTTTCCCTTTAGTCACACTGTTGACATATTTACATGGCACAAAATTCTGAAGGCACAAAGGAGTATAGCGTGAAAAGTCTTTCTCCTACCCTTATATCTCCAGTTTCATAGTTCTCCTTTCCAGAGGCAACCAACATTGCCGGTTTCTTGTGTGTTCCTGTGGAAACGCACTCTGCATTTGGGAAGCCTATGTATGAATCATTTCATGTTTTATACCAAAGCAACCACACAATACAAACTCTTTTGTCAACAGCTGTGAATTAATCCCCCCCCAGATAGAAGGATCAAGGTTTTCCAGGGGGCCATAGTAATTTGTACAGATAGGTAACTCAGGTAGCTTGATGTGACTAAAGTGAGGCCATGAGTGTCCAGGGCCTGGGGACAGACAATACTGAAATGATAGCCAGAGAGGACAGATCCTGGAAGTCCTTGGATGCCATCCTAGAAAATTGTGGATGTTATCTTGAAGGAAATATGGAACCGCCGAATGGTTCTGAGTTGTAGGTAGAGCGGGGGTGGGGGAGGGGCAGGATTATTTGTAATGTTAAAGATGCCCCTGGAGGATTAAAGGGAGGAGGACCAGCCTGGCAGCTGGGAAACTGTTAAGTCTACACAACAGTTGACGATATAGCAATATGAGAACGGTGAAGAACACACGCTGCACTTGATGACGGATCAGATGTAAGCAGTGAGGCAGAGCTGAGAGATATTGGGGTGTGGAGTACACAACTGTTTTGGAAAAGATAAAGAATTCAGACATGTTGTGTTTGAGGCCAAGTGTGACACCCAAATGTAATTCTAAGTAATTTCCAAATTTCCTGAGGTCACAAGAGACCACATCGATATGGTTAATTAAAATTGATCTGGGTCATTCCTAAACCTCCTTCTTCCTTTGTTCACTGATTTTCTGGGAGTTGGCTGTCTTCCTGGGAGCCCTGACCGAGCCACACTTTCACACAGGCGCTCCTAGGAAAATTACAGCCCAGGATAGGCCCAACGGCCTTGAGCTTGACTCACAGCTTTTTCTCCTGGCAGAATTAAGGAGGAGATTAATGGCCACAGTAGAAAAGAGAATAAAAAAGGACTGAATAATTTGAAGTACAGATAACTGATCTTTGAATAGACTTTTAGAAAAGTATAAGTTTACCGATTTTTGAAATATATTTTTCCCCCAAATGGGAAAATAATGGAATGAGGGGAAGTTAGTTCTGATCTAGTCCTTCCAATGTAACCACAGTAAGCATTCGGGAATACTGTGCTCCCTCCCATTTCTTCCTTAGCCCCTTTTCACATAGCTGTAAATCATACTGCAGTCGTTGGGAGGATAAAATAGATTGTGGAATCCTAGTGCCATAGGATGATTTTTTTTTTTTTAGGCTAGAAGAATATTGAATATAGAGGAGTAAGTTATCATTGTTCACTCCGTACCCCAGTAGAAGTTGTTACTCTCTTTAAGAAATAAAAGGAAATGTGGGCATACGTTGCACGTATTCTAATATATAAACAGGAAGTAACATTGACGCTGAGACAGTCTGGCTTATCAGCACTAGAATGGAACCTACGACTATTTTTTAAATTAGTAAGAACTTCTTTTTTTTTTAATTTACAGAGATTATGTGGCATGATGGTATGAAAAGAGCAGTGGTGCTTGGAATATAGCCCTGGTTTGGGCATTAACTTTGTGGTCTTGGATTTACTTTAACCTCTATTAAATCATTTCAGATTCATGCCTGTCAGTTAACGCTTAGTGTGACCTCCTTTGTCCATGCCTGGTTTATTCCTGTTCCTGGACTTAGGGCTGGGATCGGCCCTCTAAAAACAGGAAGATCATGAATCAGAGAGGAGTACCAAAGAAAATTCCATGAGATGGGATGTTACCAGAAGGGGAAATAAATTCTGGGCAGGCAAAAACACTAGATAGATATCCATCATAATCTTAGTAATCTTGTAATCTTAGTTTCTTTATCTGTAAAATGATGGGGTTGGGGTAAAAAGTTATATTCCTTAGTCCATGTGGATCAGTTTTCACAGGATTGAAAACACAATATTGCCCAAGTTAAAGTAGGAGAAAAGCTATGTTCTTCTCAGGACTTCTGATTTGTGATCTCCATTCCTTGTGACTTTAGAGCAATTTCATGCGTTCAGACCAGGAGTATTAAAGCAGGTTCCTGAGTGACTTTCCTGTTTTTGTGTGCTGTCTGTGTATACTTCCTGCAGAGAGACTGTTTTAATAATAGCAACATACGCCCTGAAACAACATACTTCTTTGACCCCATCACCGTTTTTATCTTTGGAAAGGCTATGATGTGTTACTGGGTGTTAAGAATAGTTTCCTTTTCAGTGTGCAGTGGCCAAACTGAATTTATTTTTACTCAAATGGGATAGGGCCTGACTAATACAATGACTCCCCAGAATTCAAGTTTTTTCATAGCATGTCTTGTTATCCTACAGCTCTGGGGGAGGGGTAGTATCAGGAAAGGCACAAACATACTTGGAACAGAATTTTGCTCCAACAACTATTTTCTCTCCAATCTGTACTTCAGTGATTATTTTTAATGCAACTGGCTCTGGGAAGATAATCCTTGCAGGACCTTTAAATTATGTAATTACACAGAGATGAGGCCTAAGAAAAAGTTCCCTGCTCTATAATTCCAGCAAATTTGTCTATATATCAAGTTCATTAGCAAACTGGAATAGTAACATGGTATCTCCCTATCTCAGAAGGTTGTCAAGCTGCTTAAAATGAGACAATACATGTAAAACACTTGGGCACTGTGTCTGGCATAGAGTAAGCGGTGGTAGTATTAGCTATTACTGATTATCTATACAAAGAATAGAATTCTGTCATAGAGGGTTGTTCTGGGGATCAAAAGGGATAAAGCTGTGAACATAGCATTCAGCACAAAGGAGACAGTTAGAAATAGTTTCTGCTGTTGCAACCAGTAGAAAAAACTCATGGTTGTTTTTAAGAAATAATATTTCCAAAATCAGTAGCTAGCAATCTTTACATTACTTGTGAATGAAAAAAAAGTTTCTGATTAGAATACTGCTTTTCCTGCTATTTGTCAGTTTAGCCCGATTTTGAGTCAGCAAAATAGTATTATGGTTAATTATATATAATGTATTATAATGAAAAACCCATCCCAGGTTGCCATTTACCAGCTGTTCCATCTGGGGAATTCGAATCAAATGGGGAAATCAAACCGTTGATTTTTCTAAGCCTTCATTTCTTATCTTTAAAAGGTCTATAATAGGGGCACCTGGGTGGCTCAATTAGTTAAGCATGTGACTCTTGGTTTCAGCTCAGGTCATGATCTCAGGGTCGTGAGATCCAGCCCTGGATCAGATTCTGCACTGGGCGTGGAGCCTGCTTAAGATTCTCTGTCTCCCTCTCCCTCTGCTCCCCACCCCCCCACCACTCACACACGCTCTCTCTCTCTCAAAATAAATAAATAAGTAAATAAAATTAAAAAATAAAAGGGCTATAGTGATATTTGCCTTACATACTTCACATGACTATAATAAAAGATCATATGAGATTGGATTAATTAAAGAACCCTGAAAAGGACAAAAGAATAGCACTGCAAAAATAAAGTTTCTTGATTTTTATTGTGCATCTACTAAATGCCAAGCTTATGCTAAGTGCTTTATTCATATTATCT